CCGAAAGAAAGATGATAAACCTGGCTGCAGGCTGTTGCCGTGGTGATGGGAGGCAGTTGCCGTGGTTGACAGCGGTGACACATTGAAGGCAGCAGGTACTTCTAATTACCCCCTCCACCGACCCAAGCAGGCAGCAACCCCTCCCGACTCGGGGCAGGAGATGCTCCGGTTTTCTCCTAGCACTTTCTTCCTCTCCGCCGCAGGTTGGATGTGCCTTTTCAGGGCCCCCACCTGTGCTGAAAGGAAAACCGTGAGGTGGCAGCTTTTCCTAATGTCACTTTAATAGCCCGGGAGCGGCCAGCAATTCAGCAGCATCCTCGGGAAGCCTGGACAAGGCTGGCAAATTTTCAGAGATCTGGTATCCAAAAAGCAGGAGAGGAGAAATTGAGTGCAGCTGGCCACAGCTTTTGGAGCAAGAAGATGAGGGCCTTGCGCATCTGGCCCAAATTGTAATGTTTTTGGTAGCGCTTGCTGTGGCTGGCCAGGTCTTGTGCTTTGGGGTCTCGCCAGCTGCCCGAAGGCACCCTGCCATGGTCTGTGTGGGCTGGGGCAGGGTACTGCAAGGGGAGCGAGAGGAGCAAAGGGAGCACGGGAGCATCCTGACCACCCACGCATTGCTGCTGCCGAAGTATGTGCACAAAAGTGTAGATCTGTATGAAATAAACCCCTGACTTTGAACCCTTTTGCCTGAATCCCCTGAGTTTGGCTGCCGTCAGAGAGTACTCCCTGCCTCTGGGTCTCTTGCGTAACGTTTTCTGTGTGTTTGCTGAAGAAAAAACCCTGGCTTTTAAAACAATTTCTGCTTTTCATTTTTTACATATTAATTTCATCCAGGGCTGTTCTAAGCTCTGGCTCTGTCTGTACCTCTCCTGACTGCCTTATGCCCAGGGAGAGGGACTTTCACAGCTGTTGCCTCAGCCCACACCGAAACTCTTTTGGCCCCTTGAAGGGTGTCATTCAGCACTGATCTCTCTGTCAGGGCTTTGCTGGTGCTGCCTTTCCAGTAGCTGTCAAAGCACCTGCTGCAAAATGGAGAGGCTGAGAGAGCTGGGGCTGTTCAGCCTGGAGAAGAGAAGGCTCAGGGGGATCTTATCCATGCGTACAAATACCTGATGTGGAGGAGTAAAGGAGACAGACTGCTCAGTGGTGCCCAGTGGCAGGGCAAGAGGCAATGGGCACAGCCTGAAACACGGGATATCCTATTTAAATGTAAGAAAAGACTTTTTCACTGTGTAGATAGTCAAACGCTGGAGTAGGTTGCCCAGAGAGTTTCTGATGCTTCCATCCTTGGAGATATTCAAAACCCAACTGGATGCGACCCTGAGCAATCTGCTGTAGTTGATGCTACTTTGAGCAGGGAGGTTGGACCAGATGACCTCTAGAGGCTTCTTCCAACCTCAACCATTCTGTGGTTCTGTAATTCTGTGAAAGATGATGCTGAACAGATTTTGAAAAGTCCAGAAGAGAATTGCAGTCTTATTCGAAAAGCCTGTGGGAGCTTATGGAAACCTCTCCAATTGCTTTCCTGGGCTTTGGATCAGATCATTAAAGAAACATGTAAGAGAGAGAAAGGTGGAAAGTTGAAGTTGTGTTGTGTAGACCTCTGAGGGCAAACATTTAATTCGTGCCCTTTTGGTGTATTCCTCTCAGAAGAGGCTTCTGGTTTTGAAGCCTACATTGAGGGTGGGCTCCATGTGCATTACTTTGTATAGCACTTGGGATTAACAGTGAGGGATAGTGATAACACATTCTTGAAATCACCTCATAGCATGATTGGCACAGTAGACCTGGTGCCCTGCTCTTGTCTGATTTTGCAACTGAATGTAGCTCACCGAAAACTAGGTGGGGGAGAAGAGAAAGAATTAATAATCTTCTAGATCAGATTATGCGGGATAGTCATGAATCCCTGTCAGAGAATGAGCACGGAAGAGTTGCTCAGAACGAGCCTGGATGTCGAGTGTCTTTCAGAAACGAGCAGAGATACAGGCCACCGTTTTGGATTCAGTTCTGCAAGGACTGAAAATGGGTGCACTCAGTGGGTTGTATTTTAAATGGATAATTTCTTGGCTCTGTTATTTTAAATTAAAAAAAAAAAAAGAATTTTGTCTGAAAATGGAAACTGAGCAGATATGCTTATGTGAGGTGTGTTAAAACACCTAAGAAGGATCGCTCTGCCAGAGGTTGGAGGTCCGTTCTCATTAGATCTACATCACTGCTTTGCAAGGCGAATGCTGGAAAAATATCACAGAAATGTGTTCACTTTTAGAGCTAAAATACTGTAAATGAGTTCTTGGATAAGTGTGTATCAGGTCTTAAGACTCCTTCAGGAGGAGAGGGATGGTAAAGAGGGAGACAGAGGGCGTGGAGAGCACAGAGAAGGTCACACAAATAGACCATTTTTATCCTCTTCTGTAATATATAAATGAAGTGGCACTTGATGAAATTAAAAGGCAAAAAATTAAAAATAAATAGGAGGAAACCATTTTTAATGTAAAGTATAATTAGCCATTGTAGCTCATGGCTGCTAACTATTATCGAAGCAGATATTTTAGTAAGATTATCAACAAAGGATTCAAATGAATGAGCAAAGCATCTGCAGGGACATCAGTGTAGCTGAGAAAACAATTATAAGGGCTATCAATCCTCATGCTTTAGGGCATAAACAGATCACCAGCTGGGGTCAGAAATGCAATTTCCCCCCATGATTACTGAATAACTTAATTAGGCACATTGTGGAGTTTTATCCAGCACGGGTCACTGCTGGAAGCAGAATAACAGATTAGATGGACCATTGACCTGTTCCAATATCTCCAAGTTCCTCTCAGAAGGGAAGAGGGAAACTTCTAGCCTTGTGTTGTACCCCCTTCCCAGGAGGGCAGTAATCACTAGGCTTACATAGAGATCCAACTGTCCATTTTGATCTAGATCCCTAGATTGTAGAGATCTCTGCTACATTTGAGTATAGGCCACCATGGAAAGCCTCTTCCATGTATTTGGAAGATTTGGTAAACCAGCGAGGGAAGGGACTCAGCAAATCAACAAGAGAGGAGTGAGCATGTGTTTAGCTATGGCAACGCTTTGACTTGTATAAATATCTTAGGCCTTTGTGCTACCTCTGCTTTCCCCTTTTCAAAAGAGTTTTGGCTTAATCAAGGAGTGGAGTAGTGAAGAACTGAGGGGAAAAAAACATAAGAATGTAATAAATCAGCCTACCAGCAGTTATTTCCCTTAATCTTCCTATTTTGTCACCCCAAGCCTAGAGCAAGCTTATCCCAGCCATGATGCTTTTACAGAAGTTTTCCTTGACTCTTTTCCACCTGGTTTGAGTGTGTCAGCATGATGGTGATTTTGTTAAACTGCGTTACCCTGGGGATGTACCAGCCGTGTGAGGATATGGACTGCCTTTCTGACAGGTGTAAAATCTTGCAGGTAAGCAGACTTCCTTCTTGTTGTGGTGGTGCCTCAGTCCAAGTCACAAATTTTCACGCATGCTTTCCTTGAGCATGTGGGCAACACCTTCCCAGACAGGTTGGCAAGAATGTCCCTGGCAGTAAGCTATCCTGTTGTAAAATGGCAAGAGCTTGCTTTGAGGGGAATGGGGTGAGAGAGATAAGTCTACTTCTGACCATGCAATATAGAACAATGGCTAACCTTCCTGATCTTGTGCATAAGCAGGGGTTTCCCGACATAGACAGCTAGAAGATACATAGCTCCAGGGGTAAGCCAGGGAGAAATAACTAAGGTTACAGGATCCTGGCAGGAGAGAATAGCAGCCCCCAATGCATTCACTTGTCTGTTGAGGATGCAAGGGTACTACTGAGTTCACAGGTAATGTGGCATTCAGGATGCCCAAAGGGAGAAGAAACAAAAGGTATGTCAAGAAGGGCCATGGGTACATCCAGCCTATGAATGCACTAGCTGTGCTTGCTGCTTCCCCAAAAAGAAGGTGACAACAAAGGTTGTCATCTATAGTGTTGCTGAGGCTGCGACGTTCAGATATCTGAAGCCTCCATCTGTGATTGGTATGTGCTGTCCAAGCTGTGCTTGAAGCTGCACTATGTCCTCAGCTGAGCCATTTGCAGTGGAGTGATGAGGAATCCCTCCTGGGAGACCTTGGAAGGACAGTGTTTCCCTGGCCAGGTTTGGACCTGCTGGTCCCGAGCCAACCTCCTTTCATGTAAGTCCATGTAAGGAGTCTCTGAGCCTACATCAATTACTTCACCCATGGCAAAAAAAAAACCCCTATAAAAGCCCCTTGCTTACTTGAGCAGCTGGAAGCTGTGATGCCAGGGCTGCATGGAAGAAGTTTTTCCAGCCCTGCCTCAAACTCATTTTCAGAAGTACTGAAATTTGTGTTTATCTCACATTCTGTGTTTTAAAGTCTAAGGCTGAGAATGCTTATCAAACGCGCTCTTGGGTTTCTGTTTGGCAGGTATTTGATGATTTTATCTTCATCTTCTTTGCCATGGAAATGGTCTTAAAGATGGTGGCTCTGGGGATCTTTGGCAAGAAGTGTTACCTTGGAGATACCTGGAACCGCCTGGATTTCTTCATTGTCATGGCTGGGTAGGTCAATAGTTCCTGCGTTTATTTGTTCTGTGTTTGCTAGAGTCTTGCATGGAACAGAAATGATGTAACTGAAGGGAAATTTTCCACGGTGGTGCTACTCCATTACATCTGCCGAACTGGAATCAGACGTGCTGGGGTTAGCAGTCTATGGAAGAAACAGTAGACAAGGTAGCTTACCTCCCCAGCTGATGTGCAGCCATCTATCTCGCACAAATTCAGTAGAAGATGTTAATTTGTACTAGCTGAAGAGCTAGCCCAGGAACTTTTTTTGTTGTTGTTTTTAAAATGTCTGAGTGGAAGAGGTGTAACCTTTACCAGAACCAAGCTAGCTTCTCTGTTTCCAGCAGCAGTGTTTTAAAGGTAGGAATGTCATTTTTGTTACTCTGGGCTTTTTGTCTTTGTATTGCACTGGCCTTACCCACACGCACGGTACTATTGGGACAAGTTGACATTTGAGTGTTTTTTACAACAAAGTTGCTATGGTGAAGCTCTGGTTTCCTCTCTGCATGCATGAAGTGGAAAGTCTACCAGGATTTGCCTGTTGAATCACAGCAAAATGTTCATCTCTGATACCAGTGGGCATGGGCTTTTTTGGAATTTGTCCATTTTCAATTAGATTGCCTTGTAGCAAAGTAAAAAAGAAAAAAAAGGTCAGAAATAAATATGTAATATTGTTGTTGTCACAGCAAACAAGTGAAAGTCTTTTCAGAGAGAAAACCCCACTTTCCTCTTCCTCCCAGCAAGGAATTACCCACATTTGCTGTCACCTGGAAGTGCGTGTATTACTGACTGAGCCAGCAGTGAGTTAGAGCTCACTTTGCAGAGTTTTCCCCTGCAGTGTGGAGCAGCACTGTCTTTATATTTGCTTTTGACACAGTTCTTCTACAGCAAGACTTGAAAGTCATTCCCTCTGGAGGGGCGTATAATTGTTTGCTTCTGGGGGCAGCAGAGATTTTCAAACTCAGTTCAGTTGTAAAAGTTTGAAGACTGATTCTTGGCCAGCTTGTGCCTGAAAGGACAGGCAGATGAAAGCTGTAGCTTTTTCTGAATTAATGCAACATTTGTGAGATGGGAAGACCTTTCTTGTGGCTAAGCCTGCTGTGATTAGCATCTGATTTAAAATTGCCCGGCATGGGGACTGCAAGTTCGTCAGGAAAGGCTAAGTTAAAGCACCTGACACATGGTGGTGAGAAAAGCTAGATCGTTGTATGTTCTAGCCTGAGCTTCTGGTGGCAAAATTGCTGGTGACTGGATGCAGGGAAAGCGAGACCCTACCACAGCAGCGGTTGAGAAGGAAAGGGAAGAATAGGTGTGTTTGAAAGGGGGACCCTGGAGCCCATGGTGCTCCTCCGTGTGGGTGATGCGCTGTGGTATGCTGCGAGGAAGGCTCTGCTCCAAGTGGGCACAGGATTGCTGGTGTATGGGGTAAAAGGCTTGGAAACTGGGGATCTCGCCCTGCCTAGTGTCCCTGCAAGCATGGTATGAGTGGTGCTATCTGGAGAGATGAAGAAATCAGTGGGGCAATGCTAAATGAAAGAGGGTGAGCTCAAGTGCTTACTCCATGCAGGAAACAAGTGAAATCCATGCTACCTAGATGAGAAGGGAATAAACCCCATTTACATGTTTCCCTCTGTCGCCATTGCTGGCAGAAATTTGAGGAGAAGAGAGTCTTTTGTGCATCTGATAGCAGTACTAGGAAAAAAGCTCATATCTGAACTCTTTTCAATGCCAAGGAGACTTAGAATCAACTCCTTAGATATAAAATAGTGTGGAGGATTTTTCATTTCAGGTCCAAAACTGAAAGAAATTTGTTTCCTGATTTCTATACAATTGTCCTCATGAGGTGTCAGGCTGAAATGATAGTAATCTCATTAGAATATCTGATCTCAAGAGACTTCTGCTAAAGAAAGATTTTTCCATTTAGTTATAGAGAACTAATGACTATATAACATATTTTGAGTTATAAAAGCTTGTGGTTATTAATTCATTATTCTTTGAAATTCATTAAGATTGTCTGCACTGTTTAAATCAAATCCAAGGCTCAAACTTGCCCTTACATACAGACTGTAGGCTTTTATTTAACCTCAAATTTAAGCCCCAAGCGTTATCCTGATTGGTCCCACACCTGGATCATGGCTTCAGCTTACTCTGGGTCCAGGTGCTGCCTTAGCCTTCTGACTAAGAGAAGACATCCTGCGTTACGTTCTTGCATGTTTTCTCCATGCCAGTGAGTTAGATCCTGATCAGAGGCTAATCAGTTTTCTCTAAGGGCCTTTCCTTTTCATGGTCCGGGACTGTCATTGCCTGCAAGGGAGGTCATAAATTTGGCTCTCAAGAAAACGTCCGTGATGTTGGGAAGTAATGCACTGCCTAAAAGACGTGCAGCTTCTCTCAATTTCAAGAATAAGGACTGTACTTCCCAGCCCCTTCTCTTCCCTTCTCCCTTTCCAAATAAACACCAAAAAAAGCAGCAAAGGATGGAGGAATAAACTGTAGCATGGAAAAGCAGAGTGCAGGCAAGGGACCATTCTGTTGGGCGTTCCTGGGCAGCTGAGATACCTCCATCTGGCTAGCTGCATGACAGCATGTTTTATCAAAGAGCATAATGATTATTTGCTGCTATTGCCCCAGACGGTGTTTTGGTTACATAAACCATGTATTCAGGCATTCATTTGTAGTTTTCTCCTCACTTCCTTGGAAAGCCAGAAGCTATAGTTTTAGTCAGCTGAATTCCCTCATGTGCCCCTGCCCTGCTTGCTCCCGCTCCCCACGCAACCCAGCAGCTCAAGGAGGAAGACTCCATTGTCACTAAAAATGTTCAGTTTCCATGGCGATAGGAGCTGACATCACCAGAACTTTCTCCCCTCTCGCACACTCCCTCCCCCAACCACTTTCAACACGTTTTTTTTCAGAAAGGATTAGAAAAAAACCCAAAACAACAGTCCTAAGTCAACACTCTCCTTCATTGTTCCCCTTGGAGCTCCTAAAACCAAGCGAGGTAATCTGGGTTGAAGAATGCCAATGCCCTTGTGCGCACAAGCAGCCAGGGCTGCAAATTCAGCTTGCCGATGCTCCAGTTCCCAACTGCTCGCTGGTGACAGGAGGTTGCAGGTTCCCAGACGTTTCAAGCAGACTGTGCTTGTCACCAGCTGTCCTGGTGGGAGTCCCTCTTCCCCTGCGTTTGTGATTAGGTCTTGTCTGGCGTCATTTGTTTCCCACAGCGATTGGGTACATTTGGAGAACTCGATCTGAGGCGACTTCAAAGGGCAGCTTCCTAAAGTTGAGAGCCTACTAAGTTTTGAAAGTTGAGCTAATGTGAACGCTAATCATGTTGGAAGCACAGGCCAGTGTCTCTACGTGCATGAATTTAGGAGAAAAGTCACTTATTTCTGGGCTAGTGCTCATCAGCTTTTTAAGTCAGGCAGTTCTCTAGCAAAAAAAGAGTGAGCAAGCAATTTTTCCTGCTTGCTCTACTCTGTGAAGCAGTTGTGTTCACGTGTGGTTGGAGATGGCGCCACTGTCCCTCTGGGAAGGGAGATGTCCCTTTGCATGACTGTCCTGAGGGTCCCTGTGCGAGGAGTGAATTCATGCAACCTGCCTGGCCTTGGGGGCATTAATTGCACTGAGGGTGTGTTTGTTCTGCCTCTCTTGAGCCAAGTGCTGTAATTAGTGACCTGTGCTCCACCTCTGCCCTCTTTTTTGGCATCCCCATGACATGTTCTGGTATGCAATTTACTTGTGTAAATAGGTAGGTAGGTTGAGGGGGAGTAAATTTACACATTTACTTGTGCAAATATGTAGGTAGTTTAAGCCTTCACTATGTGGCCAGGGGGATGATTGTGATGACAAGTATGTGCCCAGAATATGTCCAAAACCTTTCCTTAATTACTTGCTACCTGGAGTCCGATGGCTGAGGAGAGGCTGGTGTATCTTTCAGAGAATACCCCATCTTTGCCTCTTTCCATTAAGCTGTGGTCAAATCCCATCCTAACCTTGCCTTTGATGGGAGGAATGGCATGACTTTGTATATTTTGGCATTTTAGGATGCACTTGCAGTGTTTTTTAACAGCTTTTAAAAGTGGTGGATATCAGAACAAGACATAGTATTCTGTGTAGCCACTTCAGTGGTAATACAGTCTCTCTATTCCAGCCTGAAATTTCCCTGTTCCTACAGCCAAGGATTGCTGTAGCCCATCTAATCAACCACTGCATCTCCCTATCAATTCATTCAGCTGCTTTCTCCAATTGGCTCCAAGCTTGGTTGGTTGGGTTTTTTTCCTCTCTGTCTCCTCTTCTGAAAAGAGAAAATCCCTTCCTATTAGTAGGAACAGCAAACTTTGTTCCCAGATGTATGCTGTTACATTTGTTCACACTGGAATACATATTATTTGCATTTCCAAAGCAGTTCGTACTGTTCTATATCACTGACTTGTCCTCTTCATTTCTTTTTCTGTTCTCCCAAAAATATGCTTCAACTGCAAAATACATCAGTGATTTTTTTTTTTTTTTTAATTTTCTGCCAGGTTGCAATAGATAAATAAAGAACAGAGCGGCAAGAATTGTGCATTACAGAAGTACATCTGCTCACGAATGAGTCCCCATTTACTGTTGTATGTGAGGTT